GGAATGGGTAGAGTTGGAGGCCCATTCTCTGTCCCTGTTCTAGTACCAACAAAAAAAATGACCAATTGGGTTGATAATCAAGCCCTTGGCTCCAACCCATTTCCCAACTCCCTACATGCCCTTCCAAACTCAGTCATGAATGCATTCAGTCCCAGAGCACCAGCAAACTTCAACACAAGAACCAAAGGAGGAGGAGGAAAGAGGGGCAGTCATAATTCCTCTTTTGGGGGGGGGGCAAGCAGGGATCTAGGCAAGAGGCTGTCTCTAGGCCCAAGGCATCTGAGCCTCCCTTGAAACATCCCTCCCTAAAAATGTCCTGTCTCAGGTTTCCCTATAGAATATCTCAGAGTTGCCAAGGAGAACCCAGGGTGTACCAAGGCTAGTATCCTCCTGTCTCTACAACTCCCAGAACGAGCTGAAACTAGGGTTGTGCTAGGCTGGCCTCTCTCATTCCCTGTCTGAAAGAGTAGTTGAAGGAAAATGCCACCTTCCAGTTTATCATCCCCTTCCAACGCCATCAGACAATATAATATATTCAGGCAACAAGGCCTCCTTGCCAGGATATGTAACTTAAAATATCAACTAGGCGAAGGTGGAAACACTGCACTTTCTCAGTTCTAGTGAGGGAGCTCCTCCCAAGCCCAGACCAAGATTTATTATACTTTGTCTCCCACTTAGAGAACCCAGCCTTGTCACCCAGAGATTACAGTCGATGTTTGCAACCCAATTGAAGAAACAAAATGGGGTGAGAGTTGGGGTGAGGATGCCTGTGGGGCTCCAAGAGTACTGGGGGATATGAGGATGCTGATCTGGGTCGATTTCCTCTCTCATTTCCACTGCAAGACTTTCCCTTCCCACCTCCATCCCCTCAGGGCTGTGGAAGGAGCAGTGAGTCCGGTTGGGGTTCCGGGTTCCTCTTAACATCCTCCCCCACCCCCCCACCTCCACACACACCCTTGCCCCAGACTCAAAAGACAAAGACGCAGTCAAGTTGTGGCAGACTCAGACTTTATTCGAAGACTTCTATCTGCCATTGCGGAATAGGAGGAGTTGGGGACACCGAGGGACCCGCAGCCTGGATGGTGGTGGCCAGCGGTGGAGGTGGGGGAAATCCCTGGTCTTCGACACAGACTTAACGATACTTCGAGGTCAGCACGGTAGACACAGAGGAAAGGAACTTATCCAAGGAGGCATGCTTCTCGGGAGAGAATTCCTTGCCGAAGTGACTGGCCAATGTCACGAGCAGGCAGTGACTCAGGAGCTGGGACAGAAGGGACAGCTCCTGAGACAGGCTCCTCCAGCTTTGGGTGTGCACACCCTTCCCTCTCCCCACTGCCCCTGCCTGCTTCATTCTCTTACCTGTCCTCTACTCCACCCGCCCACTGCGCCCGTCCTGATCATGCTCAAATCCTATTCTAACCTGGAGTCCAGTAATCCTCCCCGCATGCCAGGTCTTCACTGGAAGAACCGTTGCACTCAATGGAGCTGCGTTCCTGGCTCCAGCGGGTATCCCCAGTCGCCAACCCTGGATCCCTCAGCGTCCCCCTAGCGGGTCCCTGGGGATCGGGCTCACCTTAAAGTTGACAGGATCCACCCTCAGCTTGTGGGCGTGCAGGTCACTAAGTTTGGACAGGATTCCGGGCAGATCATCCATGTGGCCAACAGCCTGGGTCAGAGCATTGCCTATTTTCTCGCCATGAGCCTTGACTTGGGCAGAGCCGTGGGACAGGTCGAAGTGGTGGAAGTAGGTCTTGGTGGTGGGGAAAGAGCAGAAGGTCCTGTGGGAAGGAAAGGGGACTCCTTTGGGGCATCATCCCGAGCACTGTCCACTGGGCACTGTGGAGCCAGACCCAGGGCTGAGGACAGAGTGGGGTGGGGAATAGCCAGTACATGCTAAGGAGAAGGGGAGAAATTGTGAGCTCAGAAGATCGCAGGGGACCCCATGAACTCAGATCAGGGAAGGGACGTGTTTGGGATTCTGGACCTGGACTGAGATTCTGGATTCTGAAGGGGCATCCCTGGGTCTATGGGACTGGGAATCCGGTTACAGGGAGTTGGGAAGTGCGGAGGCCGAAGAGGGGAGTGGAACCCTTACCTCTCCAGGGCTTCGGTGGAGAAGGCACCGGCGGAGCCTCCCACCTTATCCCAGACAGCCTTCACATTAGTCTTATCAGCCGCAGAGAGCACCATGTTGACTTCTTTCTCGGTTCTGTGCAGGACCAGAAATATGCAGCCCCGAGCCCCACAGTCCTTTTATGGGGTTCCCTGAAAGGGCACGCCCTAGGTAGGTCTCCCAGTGGGTGTC